AGTATATGTATATTGTATATTATAATATCCGATAATTTTATAAAACTTACAGTACGTTACTTAATATTTATATAACAAGTACCTAGGTATAAAAATATTAAGAGGTAGTTTATAATTGTGTCGTAAGTTTTTAATTTGTAGAAACATTTTAGGTAATTACAGTTACGTCAATACCTAAGTACTTAAAAATACGTCATCGCTGTTTGCCATCGCACTGCGTTCGGTGTCTTTTCTTTCTTTAAAGCACAAAGACTTTCTATTGCTACCTACCTACAAAAATATAAGTAGGCACCGTAGCCTGTCGTTTATAATCCAAAGCTGTCCAACTAAATCAACAGCATTTTCATAGAAGAAAATACTGTGGGTGACTAATTTTAATGTTTCGAGTAAACTATTTAAGGCAGATAGATACCTATTGTATGAACGCGAAATGCTCAATATAATTTTATTCACACCAAACATTTATTTATAATATAAGAGATTTGCAGTCTTATTATAGAACTGCTGTCTTATTAACACCTTCTCAGGTATGATTTCAGCTAACGAGTCTAACCACGTAGTTTATTTACTTGTTAATCATAAAATCACGATTTAGCTCAGGGTAACAAAACATTTATTCAGGATGATGGATGTCACATGAAGTAATACAACTGACGTCCTTTTGAAATAAACTGTTTGTTCTTATACTCATTTCTATACTTAGCTACTTTTTACAGTGCCGTCTTTCACCTATTGGAGGCCCTGGGCATATTAGGATAATGGGGCCCCTATGACCCCCATTTGGTGATTTAACAGGAACTAGGGAGGGACTTTGTATTTGATCTGAGGGGGGCCCCTATGGATCGCGGGGCCCTGGGCATTTGCCCAAAGTGCCCACTGGCAAAGAGGGTTCTGACTTTTTATAAACAGTGGGGCCCTGGTGACCAGTAACACGGGTTTATGAACCTACACGGGCACCTGTCTCTCGCGAATGCCGACATGATAATATAATTCACCAAATTTTTTTGTTAACCCGTGATTTCATTTATGGTAAGAAATAATGTAATATTTAATAATATCATTATTATATTGTTCTCATTATGGAGGCTCTATAAATGGGTAGGGTTACTCATGATTTTCCCATGACTCCGCTTATCGCCTTTTCACTATAGATATATTGACTTAAACCCAGGTTGGTTTGTAACACGAGAAGGCCGTTCCTATTTTCACGTAGACGACCTCGGCGGAAGTTGATGTGAACTGAACAATAGCAAGGTGCCGTCAGCCACCATTCAACTAAAATTCATGCAATTAACCTTCTTTGTTAAACCCTTTTGAGTTGTACTAGCGAAATAACAGTGCACCAAGGAAAGTAACATTTTGATGGAACTTAGATCGAAGTAACAAAAGCTAAATTCTATGTACATAGAGCGATGGCCATTCTGCTACTACGTAGCGCCATCAAAAGTACGGTTTCCCTATTATGAGCTTTGCCTAATGCGGGACTAAGAGGTAGGTATACATAAGTAACTCACAAAGTACCTACTTAAATATTCCGAAAATACTATTTGACTAACTAAACCTGAAAGAAATTCTAATGTTAATAACAAATTACCATAAATGTTCCGCTTTGATCACATTCCTACTATATAAGTTACACGTTACGGGCAAGTCACATCGTTTAATATCAGTCGAACGTCACTTACAGGTAAGTTCACAGAACACAGAAAGACACCTCTTTCTGTGTTCTGTGGGTAAGTTCGTTTGACTTTCAATTAAACTTCCGTGTAAAAATCAAATACTTATGTACTATTATTATTTAGCCCTAGATAGCTAATTCTAAAATCTATTTCAATATGACAAGATCGAAATGAGTCTGTAGAGAGATCGAGCAAAAAAGTCTGATTTATTTTTAGATACTACGAGTATCTATTGTATAATCTCGTACTTGTCCAATCAGTAGTTTTCTTCATAAGCTCTATACTAACTTCTGGCTTGTTAGCAGCTTAAGTAGCAGCATGTATCGTGCTGTGAGAACGTGGTGGTGTTTATTCCGCTGTCTGGTAGAGTTGCAAAGATACACTGGAAGTCTATGAACTAAATAATAATAAAAATAATAAAAATAAAAACATATTTCCATTTGGTTTTTGGCTGGACATATTAAAGGTCTATCGTTATAATAAAGCCAGTAAATGGTGGGCTCGATTTATAGTTGAAGACTTTATCTGATCTGTCATATTTAATTTTGAATCTTTCATTAGTAACCAAATTATAATTGTCTTGATTATAAATAAAATAAGTGTACTATGAGCAGTAAATAGAGCTAAGAGATATTATTATTATTAAAAAAAACAGGTTTATAAAACGCTATCACTTGGGTACAAGTTTCTTTTTTAAATAATTTTGCACCCTACCTGGGACTCAAGTAGTACTAGTAGTACCCGTGATACGTGGGTAACACTGACAATGTTTAGACCTGACCAGTTAGAAACATTGGTAATGAAACCTTTTTTGAATTTCAATTTTATTACTCTTTGGTTACCTAATGTAGTATTGCATTCATTTGTCATTTGTTTTTGTGAATTGACGGCAAATCTAAAACTCTCGTTACACGTGAAAATGAACCTAACCCGAGAAAATTTTCGGCCAATGATTTATTACGAGTTTCGTTGTGGGCTTACTCAACAACAAAGCTATGATAGGCTGCGATTAACATTTCTTAATGAAGCCCCATCTCGTGCCCCTATTTACAATTTGTTTGACGAGTTTAAGCGTGGACGTAGCAATCTCAATGATCGTCCTTTAACAGCGACTACTGAAGATAACATCAGTGCTGTGCGACGCATGATAGAGGACGATAATGGAGTGACCTATCAGCAGATACGGGCAAGCCTAGGCATTGGTATGAGTCAAGTTCAAAAAATATTACACGAACATTTAGGCATCAGGAAGCTTTGTACTAGATGGGATTCCCCATACTTTAACCGACGACCAGAAACACCTTCGCATGGACTGGTGTTGCCAAATGTTGGATAAGTTCAACGGCGGTGCCTCAAATGCTGTATTTGATATCGTCACGGGTGATGAAAACTGGATAATGCTACGAACCCGAAACCAAAAGACAATCAGCTCAGTGGGTGTTTCCTTGCTAGGATCGGCCAACTAAGGTAAAGAAAGGAAGAAGTCAAGGAAAAAAGATGATTGGGTCATTCTTTGGTCGGAAAGGTCATTTCGCAACAGTTATGCTAGAAGATGGAAGGACAGTTACTGTTCGCTGTTTGCCTGTTGTCTTGGAAAAAAATAGACAGCAGCGCCCTCGAAGCAGGATCTTCCTTCACCACGACAATGCTTCACCGCACTCCGAAAAACGGACTGTTGAATATTTGACTATGACAGGTGTCGAGATAATCCGCCATACGAAAGTATTTTCGATCTGGCGCCCTGCGACTTTCATTTATTCCCAAGAACTAACTAAAGATAAAATTTGAGGTATTCGCTTAACGAGCCCTGAAGATGCGGAGAAAGCGTCCGAAAATGCCATAGAAGAGCAAAGAAAAATAACAAATAACCCCTAAAGAAGAATGGGCCCACTGCTTTTCTCAGTGGTTCCATCGAATGCGACGATGTGTAGAGAGGAACGGAGATTACTTCGAAAAACAATAAAAGTATTGGCAACTTTCTACATTAAGCCGTTTTTCATTTTCTAAACATTTTCAATGTTACCTAGGTATTATATTTTGGTGACGGGGTACGAAATTTATAAAGGATAATAGGCAAAAAACACCCATTTTCACCAACAATGAACAATGTTTATAAATTAGTATGAATCGAAAAAACCTGAGAGAAGTTAGCCTTTTTTATTATTACACTGTAAAAAAACATCCTGGTAATTGAAAGATATGACACATGGGCATATTAAATTAGCTATATAAATTCATTTAATAGTACCTTCATTTTATATTATCAGTAACCATAATAATGTGCCATATCGTGCTGTATAACCAGATATACGAAAAAGCCTGCCACCATCATGCGCTTGCACTTACTGAGACACCTCAAAACAGTTTACGGGGTATGGATACGGGGGTTGAAGGATTTACAGTTGCAACTAGTCGACTCATATGCAGTATTTCATCTTACTTCAGCTTTAATTAACTAAAAAACAGATTTTTAATAAACACGCTTTGGACATTGGAATATTATTATTGGTTTTGTGAATTAGTATGGATGAACTGGAACCATGTTTTCTCCGAGACGTGGACAAGTTTGAGTGATTTTTGGTTGATCTGTGTTAGGTAAAAGACCATTTACTATAACGAAGACTGATTGAAAAAACCCAACCCAAGCGGGGATTTTTGGATTTACTCTAGCGCGGCAGAATAACATAAGGGGGCACCCTTGCACCTAAACGGCTAACTAAGAGCCGAGGTCCGAGTCTCAGAGACGCCCTCTAGTTGAACCGACCCCCTCAGGTTCGAGTGGTCTAGAGGCTCTAGGCAGAGAGAAGACTCCTCCCGTAGATAGATGCCATCCGCCTGGAATATCTCTAGAGGCACTCGCCAATTCTCGGCTTGAGGTCCCCTTAGGATCTCGCCGTCCCCAAGCCCGGCGACGCTGTAAAGGTCATCTGCGACCAACAGCATACACACTCAAAAAAAATGCAGTCGATAGGTCTACAAACGTTTTTTCCAAATTTTACGCAAAAGAGCTGAATTTCATCCAACTTATTACATGACTAGGCAATAATAGGAACCTACAGTCCAAATTTCATCATTCAGGGTCCAGCCGTTTCGGCTGTGCGTTGATGTCAGTGTATCCTTTTCTCTCTTTATATAATAGTACTTAAATTAAATCTGGAATCCGGGGGGCTACTTATGATTTGCACACTCCTATTTAACGACCTGTCAAAATTTTGTTAATTTTTATCTGTGTTGTGGGGGTTCCTCTGCTGTGACCACAGCCCCGCCTGCCCTGCCTTTAATCCTAACCTGCATTAAAAACTTAAATGCCTGTGTACTCACCTCGTATGCTTTTGGGTTGGCACTTTCAGTGATAGCAGTGAAGAGTCTGTTGAGTGCTCGCGTCATCAACCCAGTCATGGTGTGAGTTTTGCCGGCCCCCGTGGCCCCGTACGCGAATATGGCGCCAGCGAATCCGCGTAGGGTGTCGTCCACCAGTGGAGCACAGACAGCTTCATACACTTCCTCCTTCGAAAACAATATTACTTTACTAAAAATAACAGCCAGTGTGAGTCTGACTAAAGGGTACCGTACCATTATACACTTCTTATAGGTTTTCTATAATAATCTACAAACAAAGAGCTACATTCCATATTTTTTCAAGTTTTTAGACGCAGCAGTTACTGAGATTAAGGAGGACAGGTCAATTTTCATCTATTTTCTTAAATAATTTTTAAACTAACTATTCGTTTTACATTTATAAAAAATTGAAACGTTCACTATGAGCCCTTTCATTTCATATATAACAGGGTACAGTTAGCTAAAGCTTGAGGTATACGAAACCCTAAAATGGTTCAGGAACTCATTTATAAGCCGGATTTACCTCCCATGCTAAGCTGAGACTAAAATATATACCTACTGCATTAATTAAAACACTAACTTCTCTCGCAGATTACAACATGATACACTAAGTGCTAAATTGTTGCACTCTTACAGTTGCTAAATTGTTCAAGACTAACTGTACTATAGGATGTCTCAATAAGAGTGCACTTTTCATTTTGAAATAAAGACACGATTTTTTGGGAAAGTTGTGATATTTAAATGTAAAGAAGTTTACTAGAAAAATACACCACGCGGACCAGGCAGCAGACGAGACTCGAACCCGTACCCTTTGCTATCCGGGCGAATGCACTGACCATTATGCTTTCGCGGCCCTGACGGCCGTGTCGAATTTTTCTCTAGCCTTAGGCTGCAAGGCAGCGCTCTCTCTTCGCATTGTAGGTAACCCACAAAACAAAACAAAAAGTTTTGGTTGTGATATTTTTAGTGAATTATAAAGAAGACATGTTCCGATTAAGTATAGAATAAAATATCCGTCAAAAGCCCTCCCACTGCTCTGATGACAGGCCATTACTCTTTTCATGGTATTTTCTATGACTTTTTCACAGACATGCAAAGATTTCAATCGTTATGCCAGCCATACACACTACGAGAAATCGTTACGATCAGACTGTACAGTTCGAACGGAACAGTTTATCGTACGTGGCGAACGTATAGAAAACTGTGCTGTTTTACAACATACACGCTACGATTTATCGGTACCCTTCGAACTGTACAGTCTGATCGTAACGATTTCTCGTAGTGTGTATGGCCGGTATTAGATATGCCCTTACCATAGTTTGACCGCTCTGAAAGCTGACAGCACTCGAATAGGCTAAGTAGTGTATCATCATGGCTTATCTAATCAGTGTTCATCTGAATATTGTGGCAGTTTGACGTTGGTGAATAAAATACCGTAGGCATTTTTGCGAGAAAGTGTATTAAAATGCCGTCGTGTGCCTTCCGAAAGTGCACTAACAATTCGAGAAACACAAATAAAGCTAATGGTGTAATATTTCACTCGTTAGTTTTTAGATTTCATTGTTTTATTAAATGTATTTTCTTTAGTTGTCATAAATATTGAAATCTGATCGGACAGCGCATGACAGAGAAAGTAGTGTTGGAAAATAAGGTAAGTGCGCCTAAAATGGGCCGGTTCCAAATAAGGTCCATCTTTTCAAACTTCCCGCACTTAATATTTAAACCAAAACTGATTTTGCGCAGCGCCTCCCCAGTAACCAACCATAAAAGCGCACCGACGTTCATTGCTTCCGCGCCGTCCATTTTGGCAGTGGCTCTGTGTGTAACCTCAGGTGCAGTCGACGTGACTGAACGAATAAAATATTCTGATCCAATTTTGCTTTGTTTCAGTAATAAAACTCGGTGAAAAATATTGCAAGACAAAAAGAGACAACAGTATTTTGCGCTGTGCGTTTTGAAGTTTGTCCGCCCATGAAGTTTCATAAAAAAATGTTCTGAATTCGAAAGAACTAATTACTGTTCTTCATTCTCATTTTAGTGACGAGCACTTAGTCCTAAATTTTATCGAATCGGTAATCTTATATATATGTTATTATATATATCTGTATAGCATTAAAACTTTACAAAACTATAATATATTATGTATTATTATATTTAGTTAACATAATATATTATCCATAATTATATTTACGGCTTCCGGTAAAAAATTCACGTTTAATTATAATATCGCTCTCTATCTTTTCTTTATATCTAACTAGCTGACCCAGCGAACTTCGTATCGCCCAAAAGTCAATGAATGTAATTATATTTATTAATATTTATTAAATTAATGATTTTGCAGCCGCAATAAAACAAATACATTTTTATGTTTTTATTTATTTTTAAGCATTTAACTGCTAGATGTTTAAATGTAAAGAAAAGTTTACTAGAAAAAAGATCCACGCGGACCAGGCAGCGGACGGGACTCGAACCCGCACCCTTCGCTATCCGGGCGAATGCACTGACCATTATGCTACCACGGCCCTTTTCGCCGCGTCGAAATTTTTTCCTAGCCTTAAGCTGCAAGGCAAATACATTTTTTTTAATAGTTTATAAGGATTTTAAACCCATAAAATGAAATTTGAATAACTTATACTTTAATAGTGTATCAGCGAAATTTAAAACGGGATTTATTGTTTGCCAGGGTTGCCATGTATTTGAACAATTCTTTAAACACAGACATCCCTTAATCTCTCAGTACCTTACGACTTTTTGGGAAATTAGGAATAGTTTTATATTTTTGGAAAATTAAACAAAATGGAGTAAAATTTATGTTATAATGAAATGAAAACTGCGATATTGATACTTCAGTATAGTGTCGAAGTTACGTCCATCGTCTCCTTACCAAAATATTGATCGGTATGCAAATTGTCTTATGATTACAGTATTTTCTTTAAATTACAATATCACTATCTAAAGTGATCATCTTCTATCAAAATATTAATATACGTAACAGATTTGCAGTAGGTACAAATAAGCAGCCATTCTTGAGTTATAAGTGTTCCAATTAACACGACTTTGTTGTATATGTAGATTATCCGCGTTTACCATTGAACTTTATTGTGTTTGTGTTCTTTCGCTTATAAAGTCGTAAATTTAATTAAGCTAGATATTTAAAATTGCCACATTTATCGACTGCTATAAAGGCGGTACGCAGTTCGCCGGGTCAGCATATTATAATATAATTGCAATGTACTTATTCACCACATAACTAAGCATTTGTATTTTCTAAATTCTAAATGTATAATAAATAAATCAAAAAGATCGCCGCAGATAGGATCGCTGAACTTATGTAGACATTTATATTTTTTATTTAATTCAATCCTTTTGATCAGCTACTGTTTGCAATGTTGGTTAAATTACCAAAAAAAATATCTAGATGAGACTCGCATATAATAGCATTACTTTATTTTTTCGATAATAATTAACTTTCACTACACAATTGTAATGTGTCAAAACCGCCATCAACATAACGTCATTTCAAAATATAGCCGCAGTTTTTCGGTATTAGGGCATGTTAGGATGCAATATTTGTTTATGGTTAAGTTTGAAGTAAGTGGAAAAATAAACGAGTTGTCACAGCGACACTGAGATTACAAGATGGGTTTTATTCAAATAATATTTTAAAGTATCCTTTTATCCAATTTCCAACTATATGTAACATGGTAGCAGATCAATAAATAAAGATTGAAGTGAGTTGCGATCCACGAAAAGTTAAAAGTAAAAAAGAAGAGAAATTCATATGACGACGACAACGCTGCCGATCCTTACTGAAGGTACGAATTTTGGTAATTGGAAATATAGATTGATGTTGATTTTAGAAGAAAGGCAAATAAAATACGTATGAGATAATGAAAAATGTGACCAATTTGTAAATTTTGACAAAGAAGATTCGAAAGCGAAATCGTTAATAGCGCCATGTACAATCGATAAATATCTAGATATTTTAAAGAAAGGGCGAACAGCAAAGCATATGATTTCCCTACTTTTAGAAGTTTTTGAGCGAAAAAGCATTTATAACAAATTACATTGATAAGAAAATTAATTACGTTGAAATGTACAAATACAGAGTTATTGCAGCAGTATTTTATGAAGTTTGATAATTTATTGGGAGATTTGGCTGCAATAGACGTAAAAGTAGATGAAGAAGACCAAATTTGTTATCTTTTATCGTCACTTCCGAAAGAGTTCGAACACGTAATTACTTCCATAAAAACCATGGCAACGGAAAAACAACTGAATTTAGAATTTGTTAAAACAAGACTATTAGATGCGGAAACAAAATTAAAATTGTATAATGATACGGACACACAAAACGAAATTAACAATGCCTTTATTATTAAATGTTACGGATGCGGGAAAACAGGACACAAATCTTTTGAATGTAGAGCAAAAGGCCGCAGAGGAACTAGCTTCCAACGGAACCGTGGGTACCGCAATGAACGGAGAGGACGAGGGCAAGGCCATTCATCCTGGCACGACGGAGCACAAGCTACGTATGCGGAAGAGGACAATGAGTTTTGCTTCCTGATGAACACCAATGCAATGGTAGGAGAAGTGAACACAAATAATGTAAGTGACCATAATATAGTTGAATTTATAGTAGATTCTGGTTGTACGGGACATTTGATAAACGTTAAATATTGAGATAGCATGTTTGATATTGTTGTAGTACGACCTGTGAACATTTTAGTTGCCAATGGACAATACATTACCGCGAATATGAGAGGAAAAATAAAAATGGAATATCAAAATTCTAAAATAATCATAGAAGCACTAATTGTAAAAGACATAAGATTTAATTTACTCTCGGTAAATAAGTTAATAGAAGCCGGTTATAATGTTAATTTTGATAGGTCCAGTGTTAAATTTTTTAAGAGAAATCATTTTATTACAGCTTTCTGTCAAAATAAATTATTTAGAATCTTTGGTAAAATTTTAATAATATTTTTTGTAACAATATATGGAATGGTGAAAATAGTTTATGGCATAAGCGATTAGGTCACTAAAACAGAAAAGGTCTGGGTATAATGAAGTTACCTATATCTGACAAAATGTGTGAACCCTGCATAGAAGGCAAAGCAACACGTTCTACGTATAAACCAATTATTAAACCTAGATCATCAATG